CTCATTTGTATAAAAAATCATAATGTTATTTGAGTTATTGTCTTTATAGGTCGATTTTGGAAATCTCATAACGGTAAGTATGCAATAAATAGTTTTTTATATGATAAATGAACTTTCTTAAATTAAGAGCTCCATTAGTCATTTTATATTTTTTTACCAACCTTCAGTTTTCATATCGGTGAGTAGTATGATATTCTTATTGGACTAATGTAGCTCACCCTTATTAACCATTTCAAATCAAGAATATCCAAATTTAGATTCTAATAAGTAGGAGGTCTGTGAGTAGATGTCCTCTGGATTTTATCAAGAGCTAGTGGAGGTTAACCTCCCTATAATATTTATTTACTATTTTCGTATGTTTATTAATTTTTTTATGAACTACTATGAATAGGATATTTCCGTAACCCTATTGGATATTCTAATTTATTTGTAAGGAATGTAAATCCTAATGTTATTATACGATTATGTATCTTTAATTTAAATTTATTTTACCCAAAATTTTGGGTCTCTATAGTAGGTATCAGAGCTGTTTTCCTTCGAACCATTCCTTACACAAAGACTTAAAAATACCAAATACAAAACTATCACTCAATCTTTCATTGTTAAATGTAGGTGCAAGAAATAAAGAGAGGAAAACCTCCACTAAACCGAGCAACACGGGATGGTTTATTTTGAGAGGATGTTGATAAACTCTTTGAGAGTTTGAAGAGACTCATCTTTGCCCAGCAGGCTCAGGAGGAAAGGAAGGAGCTGTCTAACCCTCCCTCGCTGCCATAATTTGAGCCACGCTCACAGTGGAAAGATTTGAAGACACCTCGGTACAACCCTGCTCCTCCACCGTATTGTGCGGCGCCACCACAGTATAATTTGGTGCCTCCATGATATCATCCGACACCACTATAAGGCCACCCGGTCCCTCCCCAGCACAATCCAGTTCCTCTTCCACGGGACCCAGTTCCACCCATGATGGATCCAAACTACATTGAGAGGTACAAGAGACTATACCCATATACCTTTGCAGGGGCATCCTCTTTTGAAGAAACTGAGTTTCTATTAGCTGAGACAGAGAAGACCTTCACAACTCTTGGGGTGGTTCCCAAATAGAAGGTTATACTTATCACCTACATGCTTGTGGGAGAGGTAGGCCACTGGTGGCAGCTCAAGCAGGCCAACTTGCCCATTCCAATCACCTGGGAACAGTTCCTGACGGCTTTCAATGTAGAGTACCTCTCAGAGCACCTCTGAAATTTGAAGGAGATGGAGTTTGTACACCTAATCCAGTGTGAGATGATTGTGTCAGAGTATGTCCAAAGGTTCCTAGGTTTGGGTTGGTATTTCCCTGAGAGCATGATGAATGAAGGCAGGAAGGCAAGGA